AAAGTTATTCTGAGGCAGAGTAGACAACACGTCAATCCCATGGATGCCAGAGTTCAGGTGCACCCTGTGGGTGGAGGATTGGCAGATAGAGTACCACCACCAGAATCCTTCTGCCAGAGGGCTAATCTGCTGAAAGTAAAATGGGCTTCTGTAGAAACAGATAAATACCTCACATTTGTTTTTAACATGCATTTTACACCATTATAAAACTGAAAACTGAGAAGAATGATTGGAATAGCTATTGTTTCAAGCTTAGAAGCAGTGACAGTAATGAAAACATCTTACCAATGTAGAGTCCAATAAAACTCTTGGTTTACTGCGTTTTGTGTGGGCAACCGTAAAGTGAAAAAAGGGAAAAAAGAGAAGATGCATCACTTCGGCCTAACCACATTGTGTAAATCTATTATGCTTTATTTGTAGAACTAAGGTATTAATAGGAATCCCAAGAAGTTCTATGGCTTATGACTTGTAGCAAATAAAAGTAAGTAGCCAAACCTACCACGAGCCTACTTTTAGGCTGACAAGCCAAGATAGTGGATGTATTATAGAATGAGAAATGGATCAAAATAATGGTATAAATTTTCAATGGCATGCTCAAGCCATGAATGTAGGTAGAAAGCAATGCTGAATCATTATCACTTTATCTAGGAAGCAATGACACCTTCTAGATAGAAAATTTATTGATTTAAGCTTAATTTTATAGTTAGTATCATAAAATCAGACTGATCATAGAGACCTCTGATGTATTCTGAACGTAAGCCTGAAGACTCTCACTATTTTACAGAAATAATATTTCACCTCTACAGTGGAGTTTGTGTGAAATATCAAAAGACTGAAATACTTACTTGAAGATAGAGGCGCCTGGGTGGCTCATTGGCTCAGGTCCTGATTTTAGGGTTCTGGGTTTGAGCCCATGACCTGCTCTGTGCTGACAGCGTGGGGCCTGCTTGGAGCCTCTGTCTCCCTCTCTCTCTGCCCCTCCCCTGCTTGTGCACCTCTCTTTCTCTCTCAAAAATAAACATTAAAAAAAAATAAAGAAAAAATACAGTACATGGTTATTTTAAATGGTGGACCTTTAAGATAACTGAATACCAACATTTACATCTGAAGGGGACAAAGCACCCTGACATTTGCAAATGTGAAATAAGCAGTTATAAACTTGTGGTAAAAAAGTTGTTTCATTATTTCATTACTATCAACACTATCTTTCTTTCTTTCTTTTTTTTTTTTAACATGTATTTATTTTGAGAGAGAACTTAGATGAGAATGAGAGCACAAGGGGTCAGATGGTGGTGATGGCCGGGAGGGCCAGAGAGAGGAGAGACAGAATTCCACGCAGGCTCCTCATGCTGTCAGCACAAAGCCCGAGGTGGGGCTCGAATTCACAAACCTTGAGATCTTGACCTGCACTGAAATCAGGGTCAGACGCTTAACCTACTGAGCCACCCAGGCGCCTCTGAACACATTTTTCTTATTAGTATTGGTAAAGAAACAGTAGTAAAAGTAAAATATCCTCTTATGCTAAAGTTATGTGTAAACTTACCTATACAAATTGCTCTTCCATTACTTTGCCTATTCCATAAAGAAACTGTAGACACCTTAACTTTGTTCTATTCTTTTCTCTCTGTGACCCTCTGTTAACATACAAATTAGCCCAGGGCCTTCCTGCTTTAAGGAGTGATAGGCAGTCTTCCGGTTTAGCTTAATTTAACCTAGTCTTAACATTTGATTCAGGCTTGATTTAGGCTTAATTTTATAACTGCACCCGATGTTTCACTTACACACATGAATAATTTAATATTTGACCAGTTACTCAGAGTACCCATTATGAAAACTTAAAGAATACATTGAGGAAACCCCTGAAGCAACATAAAATACATTTTATACTTAAACTTTCTAAAAAAATTAATTAATTTAAATTAAATTAATTTTTTTAATTAAAAAAAATTTTTAAGTAGGTTCTATGCCCAACATGGGGCTTAACTCATAATAACCCTGAGATCAAGAGTTGCATGCTCTATTGACTGAGCCATGCAGGCATCCCACATTTTGTACTTTTATTGACAAATCTTATGGCCCATTTTTACTAGTCATGGTGTTACTCGTTACAAAGGAAATAAGAATAATAGCTCACAATATTCTTCAGGATTTATGAAAGAAATTATATGTGAAAATCACTCCCCCTCCAAAGTGTACTTTGTATATCTCACATATCAATACTAAATATCATCTTTTACACCCTAATACTCCTCCAGCCCCTTTCCAATTGGAACATACAAAATTTATGACCTTGAATCCTCAATACACTAATGATCTATTGAACATTATAACCCTTATAAAGTCAGTATATCTTTTCTAATTTATAGAAATACAAATGTTGTCCAGGATAGCGCTGTCTGAAAGACATTTCTGTAATGGAAATGTTCTGTATCTACACCATCTAACGTGGTAGTCACTAACCACTTATAGCTACTGAGTCCTTCAAATGTGACTAGTGGGACTAAGAAACTGAATTTTTAATTGTATTTAATTTTAGTTAATTTAAATAGCCACATTTATTGGATTAGTACTGAGCTAGTAGACCCTTGAAACATTCAGAAATGTGTTAGAAATGTAAAATAGATTATGGGCAATCCAGAAATCTTAAAATTATCAGCATGATGTTTTAAAAACTGTCATTCATTCCTTCAGTATTATGAATTTTTCCAGAAGGTTCACATAAAAAGAAAGAAAGAAAGAAAGAAACCCAAAGCAACCAAATTCTTTAGGCTGCTTTTCTGTATGAATCATCTTTTTGCAAAGAGGTGTAAGACTGATTTTATTGCCAACTCTGCCCCCTCTTCTACAGACAGAACTCAGTGATTAGGTTCTTGCATTTATTTAGGTTATTCTCCTAAAAAACATGGTTTCCATACTGCAAATAAGTGACAGGAACTTTTCCACTAAATTATCCCAGACAGCGCAAATGTTCTTTCCAAAAGTGGAGACTAGAACCACAGCCCCCTCACGTTGCCTGCTACATCTGTTTATGCTTATAGAAGTGACATCCACTTGTAGACAGAGAGTGCCAATTTCTTGGGAAAGCACCCAGAATTTGGTGAAACTTGAAAAAATTTCACTGTTCAAAATGAAAGATACATAGAATTGAGTAGCTACAAAGGCCTTTTGAAATTAAGCAAGAGATTTTGCTCCCAGAGTAGAGATTCTGTATACAGACTTGCTGGAGTTCATATCAGACTTTAATTATTTACTAGTTGATAAACTTGTGGGTAAGTTATAAAACCTAAACCTCAGTTTTCCCATCCGGAAAATGCAGATAATAACAGTTCTGTTGGGAAAACTGGTGTAAGACTTTGAAATGGGAGAATATCACTGGGTGTCCTTTCAATGGAAGGCTGGATGTTATCTACGGGACTTTGAGTTTTTGGTTCTACACCTTTGGTCTGCACCTTTGGCCTTCGACAAAGCCATTTTACTATTCTGTAGGTTGTAGAAACTTATGGTAATGTAAATGTTCTTATCTATAGGAATGCAAAATTATTTTGTTTAGAGATACAATTGATTACTGCCCTGTAGAACAGATAATTCAAAACATTAATTTTTTGTGCCTTATAGAATATTAACCAGTCTTCTCTCTTTGCTGTTTGTCCCTAAAGGTCTCTTTTCCACATCCTTGTTTGAATGGGTTGTAGTATCTTGCGATTCCCTCCCTAATTAATGTGCCAAATGGCATTTTGGACACACTTTCATTTTATATTTCTATGAGAGTTATGGTTTACCCTCTTGAAAACTTGTCCTTTAGTCGTTTTTACTCTATGGAGTTTTTGGAGGATTGGCTTAAAGATCTACATTGACAGACATGATCAGTTTCATAAACATTGCCGCAAAAAAGACACTTGGGGTATCTTTTTAGGGAGGAGGTAGGAGTGGGCACTGGGCATTTATAAAAGAGCAGGGTGGGGCCGAGCAAGTCAGAAGACCTCCTAATCCTTTTCCTTTTAACAATGGAGACTTGAGGTCAAGGTGGGTGTTAGGCCGGCAAGGCGGCCTAGGTGTGGGCCAAACCGGCCTGGAGAGTAGCCTGGGGTTTTAGATGCCCTGGGGTCATGAAGTTAACTGCATACTTTGTGCAGGCCCAGTAGCAAGCGGACCAAGAGCCCAGTTTCTGCCGAACCAACCCCGGTAGCAGAAAGGCGGACGGGCCCCAGAAGGGCAGGCCTTGCCCTAGGCCGGGGAGGCCCCTAGCCCACGGCCGAGGGGGTGGGGCGGCCTCGCCTCGGGCCGGTGCTTTTCGCCCTCGGTTGGCCGCCAGAGGCTCCCTCTCTCTCCCTCTCCTGGGATTTTGCTGCCGGGCTCCCTCTCTCTGCGGCCCTAGAGTTAATCCCATCAGCCGAGGTGAGGCACCTGTTACCCTGGGCCTTCCTCACCCCCGCGGCCTCTCTCCCACTACACCCTGGCTCCCGGGCGGCCCAAACGGCCCGCAGCGGGTGACCGCACGTGGGCCAAGCCCCTTCCGCGCCCCGAACCCCTCCCCGGGCCGGCCCGAGTGGGCGAGCGTGTCGCGGCCCGGGCCGCCGCCCGCCCGCAATGGCGT